CCCCCCCCCCCCCCCCCCCCGCCCCTGCTCATGCTCTGTCTCTTTCTGTCTCTCAAAAATAAATAAATACAAACAAAATTTAAAAAAAAGTTAAACATATACTTAACATAAGACCCAGCAATTCTGTTTATAGGTGTTCACTCTGAGAGGTGTGGAAACATAGCCATATAAAGATGTGTAAATGAATGTTTGTGGCAGCTCTATTCAGAATAGCCCTGAACTGGAAGCAACTAATGTCTTTAAACTGGTGAATGGATAAACAAATTATGGAGTATTACTCAGAAATAAAAAAGGACAAACTCCTGATGCATCCCAGAAACATTATAATAGCAAATAATGCAGACACCAGACAGTATCTACCTTGTGATTCTATTTATGTGAAATCCTAGAACAAGTACAGCTAATCTGTCGTGAAAAAATTAGATTGATGGTACCTGGGACTGAATGTGGGAGAGATTGACTGGTGCAGGGTATGGGTGAACTTTTAGGATGATGGAAATGTCCTGTATTTTCATTAGGGTGGTGGTAACATGGTGTATACATATATCAAAATTCAGTAGAACTGGTTTATTCATCTTACTGTATGTAAGTTACACCTCAGTAAAGATTAAATTGAATAAGTTTTAATTTGTTTTTTTAAAGATTTTATTTTTTTAACTAATCTCTACAACCCAGCATGGGGCTTAAACTCACAAACTTGAGATCAAAAGTCAAATGCTCTACCAACTGAACCAGCCAGGCACCCAGAATAAATTTTAAATTAAAACAATTGTGTAGAATAATACTTTGTATGATAGATACTGTTTAGGTATTTTTCCATAAAAAATGTTTTAGATACATATGGCAGAAATAGGTGTATCTTAGAATCATCCTTAGCTTTATATTTTTAATCTCAATTTTTTGGTAAAAGGTAAAAAATGAGAGAATAGTAATATTCTTTGGTACTTTTTGTAGAACCTCTTTATTATTGAATAATAAAGACCATTTTGCATATATCAGAATATAAAGATGGTGGTCAGGTTTCTCCTAATGTGCTCTGTGAGCCCTCCACAATTCCTTAACTTTGTTGTACTTTAGTTTCCATATTTACAAAATGAAACCTTTGTTAACTTTGTTTTTTGAGCTCCAACCTTTTTTTTTTTTTAAGTTTATTTTGAGAGAGGGGAGAGAGTATTTGCATGCGCACACGTGGGAGAGGGGCGGCGCAGAGCCCTATATGGGGCTTGAACTCATGAACCAGGAGATCATGACCTGAGCTGTGAGCCTTTTTGATATATCTTTGTGGAGTGAATTTGTTGAAGTAATGATCTTCCTGTTTTCTTTTGGTTTTGTAAACCTAATAAAGGAAGACCATTATCAACCTCCAGAATATGTTTATTTTTTTAATGCTTGACATTGTTCCAACAAGATTCTAATTGATTTACAAGATGCAGACAATAAAATGAGATAAAAAAAATTGAAAACATGCATGAAAAAAGCAGAAATTAAAATAGGAAAGTGGCATGGAGTTAGGAGTGAGGTTCCCAAATCAAATTACATGCATGAAGTCCTCCATGGACTTAATTTTATCTCCCACTTCAGTTATTTATTAGTTGTATAACTTTAGCCAAGTTATCAAACGTGTTTAATAGTCATACATACTTGCAGGGTAAGTTGAAGTATGAATAGTAGATGTATTTAGTGTCTAGAACATTATAGGCACCCAGTACTTTTTTTGCAGAGGGAAGAATAGAAAGACCTGGGTTCAGATTCTGACTTCAGCACCAACTGCCAGCTTTGTCACTTAACAGTTGATTGATTTTGGACGAGGTCATAGTGTAGCGTAGTGTTATAAGTTTGGTCTCTGGAGCCAGACTCTCCCGATTGGAATACATGCTCTACCACTTTCTCATTGTATATCATTGATCTCTTGCCTCAGTTTCAACAGTATAAAATAAATATTTATAAAATGCTTACTTCAAAGTTTTGTAGTGAGGATTAGATATGTTAATAGTTGAAAAATAGAACAATATCTGATATGTAGCACTCAGTAGATGTTTTTGTTATTATTACCTGGGCTGAGCCTCACTTTTTTTTTATTTTATTTTTTTAAGTAAGCTCTCCACCCAGTGTGGAGCTTGAACTCTCAACCCTGAGATCAAGAGTTGGCACACCCAGGGCACCTGGGTGGCTCAGTTGGTTAAGCATCCAACCTCATCTCAGGTCATGATCTCACGGCTCGTGGGTTCGAGTCCTGTGTCGGGCTCTACACTATCATTGCAGAGCCTGCTTGGGATTCTCTGTCTCTCTGCCCCTCCCCAACTTGTGCTCTCTCACTTTCTAAATACATACATACATACATACCTTAAAAAAAATAAAGAGTTACACACTCTACAGACTGAGGCAGCCAGGTGCCCTGAGCTCAATTTCTTCACTGTAAACTAAAATAGCTCAGAGTTGTTATAAGGAATAATGAGACAGTACTCATAAAGTACTTAGCATAGTGCTTGGCACCTATCACATGCCACTAATCACCATTTTTGTTATACAGTATCTAAAGATGAGTCATGAATTTGGTTCTTGGGTTTCAAGTAGCTAATAGTGAAGAGAGAAAGACAACCATTTAAATGATTCATAGTTTCCAAGGTAGAATAAACCGGTTGTTAAGGAAACAACTACATGCTCTCTAGAGTGCTCTAGAGTTGTGTTGTGGGTTCTCATGGAGAAAACATCTTACAGTGTCTTTAGTAGTATCTTTAAATGTGAACATAGTCAAAATAATTTATAAAAGTGACTCTTTGGGATTCAGGTCAATGTGATACAAGTATTTGGCTCTGTGATGATCTGACTTAATTCAAGGATAGACTTTGAGAAACTAAAGGAATGGATTGACCTTTAGGAATTTATCTACAAATGTGTTTTCTTTACTGTGGGTTTGAAATGGCAGTGAATGAAACTGGCAGTGGTAGGGGATGCTAATACTTTGAATATTCTTTCCTCAAATTCGGGGCTGTTAGTTTTGAAATATTTGTGTTCCACTTTGTTAATTTTTAAACTTATATTTGAAAATTTTATTTTATTATATTAAAAAAATTTTTTTAAACATTTATTTATTTTTGAGAGACTGAGCACGAGCTGGTGAGGGGCTGAGGAGAGGCAGACACAGAATCCAAAGCAGGCTTCAGGCTCTGAGCTGTCAGCACAGAGCCAGATGCAGGGCCTGAACCCATGAACTGTGAGATCATGACCTAAGCCGAAGTCGGATGCTTACCAATTGAGCCACCCAGGAGCCCCATATTTGAAAATTTTTAAACAATGAATTTATAATTGAGAAATACCAAAGTTGACATTTTATTCTAATACTCTTTTACAGAAGTTGGTATAACAGTTAATTTTTCCTTTGTATTAAAATTTTATTTGTAGCATACTATCCAAAAATAAGAAATTTGGAATATCTTACCTTTGATTACTATTACTTATTTAAAAAAATTTTTAATGTTTATTTTTGAGAGAGAGAGTGCACGTGCATGAAAGCGGGGAAGGGTGGAGAAAGGAAGAGAGAGAACATCCCAAGCAGGCTCCATGCTGTCCATGCAGAACCCAGTGTGGAGCTCCAAGTCACAAACTGAAATTATGACCTGAGCTGAAATCAAGAGTCGGACACTCAACCGACTAAGCCATCCAGGCCCCCCCCCCTTATTTACTATTTTAAATGCTCCATCCCTTTTCCCTACCATGACCAAGAAAATAAAAATAAGTAAAAAAAAATACAATTTTCAGAAAGATACAGGACTAAAAGCAACAAATCTTACTTACCAATGCTATCGGGGGAATGCTTTTAGAATTGAGAAGAAAACAGCCCTTTGGATTTAAGAGCTAGAAGCTCAGGAGCGCCTGGGTGGCTCTGTTGGTTAAGCTTCCGACTTCCGCTTAAGTCATGATCTCACTGTTGCTGAGTTTGAGCCCTGCATAGGGTTCAGTGCTGACAGTGCAGAGACTCTCTACTGTCTCTCTCTCTGTCCCTCCCCCTGGTGTGCTCTCACTCACTCTCTCTCTCAAAATAAATAAATAAGCTTAAAATAAAAACTAGAAACTCAACTCCACTGTTAGCAGTCTGACATTAAATCTTAGTTTCCTCATCTGCAAAGAAGGGATGCTATAGTAATTCACGCGGTATTTGTTAGAACCAAATTAAATAATTGATGTGAGAGTATTTGAGGAATCCACTGTAAAAATGTAATGTGTGAAATTAGCAGAAATAAGTCATGTGAAACCTAGACATTTTTAAAAGTCAGAACGTTTCCATAATTTGATCATAGGAAAAGTTCAGATGAAAGCAAATTGGACATTAGAGTGCCTTACTATTCTGTATCTAGAAAGGTTGGGTTCTTCTCAAAAGGGAAGCTCTGTCAAGGAAATCTGAACATGTCGATCTTTCTATTAACAGCTAAATTAACTCAGTAACATACTTTGAGTATAGTTAACAGATTTGAAATTTATTGTAAACATATAAACCGAGATGACCATGGCTATTACAGCCATATTCTAAAATTTATCTCTTCATATAAATAACATATAGTTTATAAAATATATAATAAGGACACACATATATTTTCTTTCAGAATTCCAGAAAGTAAAATTAGAAGAAAAGGTGTATGATTCTACAGAAATGGACTGCTACAGGTTTAGCGTTCATTGTGTGAAATCCTCATTTACTGTGAATATGCTTTTCATTTGAAAGAAAGCTTTCAAGTTTTCTAGATTATAATTCAGCCTTTGGTTATTATTGTGATGTGGTTCACCTTACAGATCAATTATGGCAGATGTTAAATTTTAGGCTCTTTCTCCTTGCTTCCTGAAAGATTTTAATGTGCCTCTACTAGATATTTGTTGAGTTTTTTTTGGTTAGATATGAACAGATTTTAATGTTTGCTAAAAAAAAAAAAAAACAACATAGATAGAACTAAATACTTACCAAAAAAATAAATAAAAGCCAGTTAACATATATTTTAAAATCAGAAATAGGAGAATATCTCAGACTTGTGGAGTTTCTGTTATGTCTGTAGCACTCAGCTGTGGGGAGTATAAAAATGCATGTCAGAGATGAGAGCCTGCCAGCCAGAGTCTCAGTATTTCATTGACAGAGACATTAGTAATTCTAAAATAAGCTAGATATTTGTCAGTGCTGTAGGCCAATATGATCCAATTTCAATGGGAAATGCATTCTAGACGGAGGAGACGTTATTTCTAACTAGTGACTTTGTAGAGGTTTCTTTGGGAGAGTCAGTGTGATTTTTACTGGGCCTTGAAGAATGGATTGGACTTCAGGAGACAGCTTTGAGGAAGTATTTGGCATTTTAGGCAAGAGAAACTTGAGTCAAGGGCTCAAGTACATGAACAAGTACATCAAGGAAGTACAAGATGTGTTTGGAGAAGGGTGAGCAGAACAGTTTGGCTAGAATGAATATTGTGGATTGGAGTAGTGGAAGATGAGCTTGAAGTGGTTTGGACCTAGACTGTGGAGGGCTTTCAGTGGCAAGCTTAGAAACCTGGATTTAAGCACATTTTATTTTTGCATTAAATTTTCATAATACAGCAGTTGTTAGTCCACTTACATTGCTATGGAGTATTTGACAAAAATCAGAGAAGATGCTCCATGTAGTCTCACTTAGAAATTTTTTTCAGTAGCTCAGAATAGAATGATTTAAGCTTCAACTGCTCTGAAGTAAACATTTATTTAGTGTCTGTCGTTGGCTGAACACTGCATTTGGCACTTGTGAAGAGAATGGATCGCCTGTGAGTATCAGTTAATGATACAGTTCTAGAGACAGACCACACATGAAACTGAGGAGTGTTCATAATGCAGCAGTATCTCACTTGCTTTGTCACTTTAGAATCTCTTACTTTAATTTCCTACTCATGCCGTGTGCTAGCATAAATGTATTTAATGCATTCATTCCAGATAGGTGAAAGGTTAGGCAGCTCTTGGAGAGGCATTTTCTGCCTTGCTCTTTGGAAATGTTATAAACCTCAGGTGAGAGTCATTGGGATGATCCTTGCTACCATCCAGACTGGCAGTATGTGTAGAGTAACCCTGGGTGTAGACAGGAGCCTTGACCATAAGCCATTTCAAGTCTGTGCACAGTCTTGTTAGTTCACAAGATCTAGTTCTCAGAAGCAAGTTAGTATTCCATAACAACAGGATTTTAAAAAGGAGTTAATGGGAAATGATTTTCATAATTATCACAATGGGGTAAGTGATTTGATGAATTAGTTTTCTTATTTACAAGATGAGTGCCCCCTCCCCCAAAACCCCAAAAAACAAAAAAACAAGATGAGTTGTTTCCATATAATCTCGATAGAATGGGTTTTTTTT